GGGAGTGCAAGCAGACGGCACTCGAGTGCTTGCAGTCCCTCTACGAAATGGTACTGGCACTATCGGACTCCAGGTCCCGACATAAATATAACCTGGAGAAGGAGCGCACTCGCAGCGCACAAGAACTAATGCGAGTAGAGCGCGCCCACACCAAGACCGTGACGGGGCTGATTAAAAGAGAAAAAGAACTGGCCTCAGATTGGATAGTGCCAGAAAAAGAAATCAAGAATACCTTGACGGAAGCCAAAAACATACGCAGTTGGCTGGACTTGAAACCCAGGAGCCATTCGGGAAAATCAGTGAGATCCAGGGTGGACTCAAAGAACAGGAAAAAAAAGCGGATCAAAGCCCTCCAGGACTTCGCTAAAGATGGACGCAGCGGCCAAGAAACTCCGCAAACATTTCCTCTCTACAAGGCAAGGTGGAGATCTATCGAATAATACAAACGAGATGCGCTCCACCTTGCCAAAAAAATGTGCGAAAAGACCTTTGCACAAATAGAGTCCAGCCACAAGACCCTAAAGCGTATGGAGAGGGGCGCTTCCTTCCCCAATAATGACGGCATAACTGAAATTGCGAAACCTCAGGAAGCTAGTGGAGGAAGTAGGAAGAAAAGATCAGGCAAAACAACAGCAAGCCATTGATGATCCCACAGCAGCTTCCCATAAAATGAGGAAGTGCTGAACAGGAAAAATTAATCCCCTTCAGGAAAAAATTGAAATAATGTGCTCGGAGCTTAGGACGTTAAGGGAACACCGAAATTAGATCTTCGGATCACACGGCCGTCAACCTGGCGACGGAAATGGGAATAGCCACCAAACCTGAAGGCAAGCCGAAGCCTTTCTTACGCCAGAGTGGCGGCCACTCCACCACCTCCAAAACCCAACCACACGCTTATAGTGTCATTCGACAGACCCGAAAAAAAACCGGGGGAGAAACGTCATTGACATTATACGGGAAGCCCTCTGGACACAAAAACAACGGGTGCCAGGGTGGAAAGGGTGAGGAAGGGAAGGCGCGTAATCAAAAAATCGTCCTGAGCTGCGGGAGCAAACATGACTTGGAACCTAACAATGTCGTATGTGGCAAAATGGCTGAAAAATAAAAAACTACATGGTGGCATACTGCGAGTCTGCTGGCTTTGTGCCTATTATGGAGAAAGAAACGGAGAAAAGAGGTAAACCGGTGTTTGCGACTCCGCCAGGTGACCACATAGTTGTGACTGCCCGGTGCACCAAGGTTATGTTAGACGATAGGATCCTGGCAACAGCCGAATCAATAATGGAAACTGTCGAATCGACGAATCCTTGGCGCAACTGGGACACACCAGAAATAACCTGGGTAAACGGGGTTCCAGGCTGTGGTAAATCAACATGGGTCGTAAACAATGTCGACGCGGCAAGCGACTTGGTGATCACCACAACCACAGAAGCAGCAAAAGACCTCAAGTCGAAGCTAGCCAACCGCATAGGTGCCGCCGCAAACAACATGGTGCGCACAATGGCCTCGGTATTGGTGAATGGCGTGAAGGAATCAGAAAAGGGTAAACTTACTCGACTCCTGGTTGACGAAGCGCTAATGAACCACTTCGGAGCCACAATAATGGCAGCTAGACTGTGCGAGGTAAAGAAAATCATGCTCATTGGTGACATCAATCAACTGCCATACATTGACAGAGAACACCTCTTCCCAATGCAGTATACTCGGCCGAATCACATCGCCTCCATAAACAAAGAACTGAGGTGCACACATAGGAACCCCATGGATGTAGCGTACGCCCTCAGAGAGATCTACAGTGGCGTATACTCTTCCAGGCCTCAAGTGCACTCCCTGCGCCGCGAAACCTTTGCTGGAGCCAACATACCAAAAAAAACTCCCCAAACACCTTATATCTAGTGTACACTCAACGGGAGAAAGAATCCCTTAAGAACCAGGGATTTGGCTCTGGCACGGGATCGCGAGTCCTAACCATCCACGAAGCGCAGGGATTAACTCAGGTTTCGGTGGTGATAGTAAAGACACAGGCAACAAAAATCAAACTCCATGAGAGTGTGCAACATGCAGTGGTAGCTGTATCAAGACACACTGCAACCTGTGTCTATTACGCTGATGACTCCAGTGACGCTTTGGGAAGATTCATAGGCGAAGCCACGAGCGCTGGAAGCAAAGCTATACTGGATTATAATTTAAAAATGGCAATCCGAGACAGGAACGCAGCGGTTACGGACAGCCTAGCTAAACTTAAGATCAAAGAGAGCCCTGCCGGCTCTTTTGGGTAACTGCATGGCATTCGGAAGTCTCGGAATGCACGTAGCATAAGGACTAGAATAATTATATACATATATTGTAATACTCCTTGTAGCACTCTTGTATAATTAAAAAAAAAAAAAAAAAAAAAAAAAAAAAAAAAAAAAAAAAAAAAAAAAAAAAAAAAAAAAAAAAAAAAAAAAAAATAAATACTAGCATACCTTAATATTAGAGTAAGTTACGCATCCGGTTTAAAAGTTATCGCAGAAAAACCGAAAAAACCAAAATTTTAAAACTTCAAAGTGCAACGCCGCGCGATTTATCGCGGTGACCACCAGTTTTTATTGTGTGCCCCGAAGGGCATTGGTGGCCCCCACATTGGGACAAAGTTTGGGATTTTTCCCACACCTCACGGCTGAGTAATCAGCAAAAAAACAACAAACCACGTGGCACGTGTTTCCTGAACCGTGTGCGTGCGGCTGTTTTTGACGACGTGATCCGGTAGCGGTAGAGGAGAGGAGCCGGGAGCAACTTTCAGTGTGACAAACAGTTAAGTTTTGACGAAGATACAGACTTTTTAAATTTAAGTGAATTTTAAAAAATTTATAACTTTTTATTTAAATCGGTAACCCCCATTTTTTATTTCAAAATAGTGTTAAGATTGGTACCTAGTATTTTTGTAGCAAATTTGAAAATTTTTCAATATATAGTTATTAAGATATTAATTTTTAAAGAAATAGTAAACTCATGAGGTACCTCACAGAATAGTGTGGGACAAAAAATTTGACTGTCATTAAATAGTAGAGTATTAAGATAGGTTTAGATATTTTTTACATAATTTTAACGCATTAATATACTGAGATATTTATAATTTAGACATAATAAAAACGTATTTGTTAAAAATCAAATCGGGGGGGACACTAAAACTACCAAAAGGACTATAATCATAATCTGGAGGCCGAGACCTTTCTAACGAGCCCAAACACGGCCAGATTCGATCAACATTTGACAAAAATTGTAAAATTAGGCTACTTGACAGGTGAGGTAGTCACCATACCGATAAAATAAAAAGAACATTGTAGACAAATTCCATGTAGTAAGATACCCGAGTGTGGGCTCTTGTTAAAGTGCACGAAGAAAGCAATCAACTGGTCGTGGTCACATGACCGCCGCCATATTGGAAATTTTAGACGACCATAAAAGGTGCTAGAAATAAGATAGGGTAGTCGTGTTTGGACTCAAACATCTTGTAATTTTGTGTACCTGTAGAATAATAACATTATCTTGAGTTATTATTATTATTACAAAACTTTTATTCTAAATATAAGACGGTACAAAGGAGATTATTTGCTTAACTTTATAAGATTATCATATATACTTTAGAAACAGTAATATATTTACATTGTGTACCATTATATATAAGAAACACGCTCTACATAGAGCAAAAATAAAAATTGTAAAATACACAGTAGTCAATTAAAACAGACTAAATTAGAAAAATCAAAGTAACAGTACATTATAAGTAGAGAGAGCGACTCTATATAGAGTCGCATAAAAATCAAAGACTGCCTTTACCTTTACATAAAGGCAAATACATCGATACTGACACAATATTAAATAGTTGACAATATACTTATATTCTACTATATACAAAAATTGACAACATTACAGTTGACATTTATATAGCATAGGGATATTTCTAATATACATAGGGACTCTCCGAACCTGAAATAGGGCGGTATTTAAAATACTGACACTCCTATACCTGTACATATAGGGGTCAAAATATACCTTCAGTAAACACTATTTATTTATACATCTAGTAAGTAATATCTTACAATATCTACTTTTACTTATTGTCCGCATAAAAAATCTAAGTAGCGAGACATATTGACACGTTCCCCGACAATGTTCGGAATCCGCACTCCTGCTAAGAGACCAAATGAGTTAGATAGGGAAAGTTCGCCAAATGAAAGAGCAATGGCAGGTCCATCTCGCGTTAGACGCAGCATTGGCGAATGGGAGGCGGAAAATCAAGACCTGGACCCAGGAGCCCAAAATAAGAAAACAAATCAGGCACAGACTCGGGTAAAGCAAACTACAATCCCCTCCACAAACATTAAATCTCCAGTGAGGGAGGGGCTCTCGCCCAATAAAGACATAGAAAAAGAAAATAAAAAACCAAAATATGTGGACAGAGTTGCAGAAGCCCGTGCCTGCTTAAATAAAGCGAAATTGTACTTAAACAACTCGCGAAATCTAAAAGCAGAAATAAAAGCAGAAGTAACACAGTGTATAGAAAGAATGTACCAAATCATAAAAGAAGCAGAAAAAGAAAGAAAACTAGAAATGGAAAATCAACAACAAAAGGATAAAAACAAAGAACAAAATGCATCGGAAAACAAAGAGAGAAAACAGGAAGCAGAAGATAAACTTATTCAAAGATTGGAAGAACATAGTAAACTTATTGAAGAAAACAAGGTAGAGATGATAAAACTAAACACAACTCTAAAAGAACAGGATCATATAAATGACAGGGCGACTTATGCAAACAAAGTAGCTAATACACACCCGAACCTGGCTCCGAGGCATATGGCCACACACTCTGTGGCAATAACCTCAAAAGATGAACTGGACACAGGGGACCAGGTCATAGACAAAATCAGGAAGGCGATAAATGCAAAGGACGAGGGACTAAAAATAGATAAAATCAGGAAGGCCAGAGACAGAAAAGTGATTGTGGGTTGCAACACAAGAGAAGAGTTGGAGAAGATCAAGAAGAAATTGGTAAAAGAAGGGACGCAGCTAAATATAGAGGACATAAAGAACAAGGACCCGTTAGTAGTAATAAAAGATGTAATGGCATATAACACAGATGACGACATCATAAAAGCCATTAAAGTACAAAATAAACATCTTTTGTCGGAAGTGAGTGGGAATGACCTAAGGATGGAGGTCAAATTCAGGAAAAAGACCAGGAACCCACTCACATCCCATATTGTACTGAAAGTGTCGCCACGGGTCTGGATGGCCATGATTGAAAATGGCATTATCCACGTGGATCTGCAACGGGTTCGAGTGGAGGACCAATCCCCGCTTATTCAGTGCTCTAGGTGCCTGGGGTATGGGCACAGCAAAAGACTGTGCACGGAGAAGGTGGATGTGTGCAGCCATTGTGGTGGCCCTCACCTCAGGGACCAGTGCACTGAGTGGCTTTCGGGAGATCCACCGTCCTGCAAAAACTGCCTGAGGGCAAAGCTCGAGCAAAAAGAACACAATGCTTTCAGCGCCGATTGCCCCGTGAGAAGGAAGTGGGATGCCTTGGCGCGGTCATCGACAGCATACTGCTGAAATGGCCCCGGGGAATTCCAGCTACCAATTTCGACAGAATGAGATCTTAGAAAACGTCACTAACAGAAAGGATGCATACAAAGCGGGGGAAAGTGGTTTGCAAGAAGTGATATGTGCGATGAGTGGGCGGCAAAAATGGCAGCAAAATAAAGAAAGGGCATGGAGCTTTACTGAGGTCTCAATCTCCACGCGAGCGGCACAAGTAAGCACCATTATACTCAATCTCTGGGATGATGGGGAATACTCCAAAACTTGGAGAGGTTAGAGTTGAAATGCAACAAGTATTTAACCTGGCGCATTTAGCAAAAACCGAACTAGGTAAAAAGTCAAAGGACCACATCGCAGGGATGAGTACTGAGATAAAAAACAAGTCGGTGGATCAAATGCTGCAAGCGGGGAATTTAGATCAGAGCGGCATATAAATGCGGCGCCAGTAAGCTATCTGTAGTAAGAAGAAATAAATGTAGGGCTAAAAAATATCAACTGTGATAGATATCACGATGTACATACAGGAGTGACAGTATACAACATATCTACTTTGTAAACCACTTCACACCCCTAAGCTATATTAATGTCGGTAAATAGAACTAAATGGAGTGTTAGATATAAGTACAGCGTAAATAAATTATGTTAAACCGCAAAACATGTAATTTAGATATAAGATATAAAATAAAGGCAGATGTATATAGAAATTGCACAGGTACATATAAATGTACAGGTAGCAATTCTAAGACTCTAGTAAATAAAATGTGTGTAAAATGTTAGGTAAATATAAAGTGTATTATAAAATAGAAAAATAGAAATAGCTGTTATGAGAAGAAAAGAAAAGTTAGTGCGTAGAAGACTAAATATAGATTTAATAGAGTTAAGAAACATAAAAATTTGAAAACTAGGAAATAGTCCTATCATTTCATACAGTAATATTAACTATAAGAAGTCATTGAATGTACAGGTAGCAATTCTAAGACTCTAGTAAAATAAAATGTGTATAAAATGTTAGGTACATATATAAGTGTATTACAAAATAAATGAATAGAAATTGATGTTATGAAAAGAAAAGCAAAGTTAGTGCGGAGAAGACTAAAAATTGATGTAATAGAGTTAAGAAACATATAAATTTGAAAACTAGGAAATAGTCCTGGCACTTCATACTGTAAATATACACCATAAGAACTCATTGAAAAAGCATATACCTTAAAAAGAACAATAAGGTCCCTGAGTACTCATGTCAGGGGAACACGGAAAAAAAAAAAAAAAAAAAAAAAAACACGGCGAGTAGTGGGGGATCGGAAAGTGGAGAGACGGACACCGTACGAGGAAACACCACATCCAGCGAAACTGGAGGAGCTGCAATTCTTATGCCTGGGCGGCGGTGCTCAAGCGGACCAGCAAGACGACAATACAGTGAACATATACACTGACGGCAGTAAAATCGAGGGGAAAGTAGGCGCGGCGTTATCCATATGGAATGACGCCGCCGAAACAAGTACCCGAAAACTTAAGCTGGGAAGCTTCTGCACTGTCTACCAGGCGGAATTGCTAGCTCTAACAGAAGCCACGAAACTGGCACTTATGAACACTGCACGAAGTTGCAACGTATATAGTGACTCCAGATCTGCCCTGGAAACAATCTCCAGGAGCGATGCCCTGCATCCCTTGGCAATCCAGGCAAGGGAAAATATAGCCAAGATAAAAGCTCAAGGAAGATCCCTTGCCTTACATTGGATTAAAGCCCATGTTGGGATTGCAGGCAATGAAAGGGCAGACACGCTTGCAAAAGAGGCCGCATTGGGAATAAAACGAAAGCCGGATTATGAAGTGTGCCCGATTTCATTTGTCAAGAGACAAATCCGTGAGGAATCTCTTGACGAGTGGAATCGGAGATACAAAGAAGGAGATACAGCTTCCATCACGAAGATATTCTTCCCGGACGTGGTCAGTGCCTACCCTATCCTTAGAAAAATTACATGGGACCCGATCACGACGCAATTCCTGACAGGACATGGTGGATTCTCCGAATATCTGCACAGGTTCAGGTGTAAGGAGAGTCCATCATGTGCCTGTGATCCAGAGAAACAGGAAACTGTAATCCACCTTGCCACAGAATGCCCAATATATGGCAAAGAGAGAAATGAGCTGGAAATACAAATTAAAGATAGAATAACCACCGAAAAACTTAAAGATATAATTGGTAACAAAGAAAGTAGAGAAATAATAGTACAGTTTTTAAAAAATATTACAAATAGAACGGCACAGAAAAAACAAGTAGGAAACAGTCGGTATTGACTAAATACTTAAGTGTATTAACCTCAATACCGGGAAAATATTAAGAAAACCAAACAGAAAGAAAAAACATCATAAATTAAGGTATAAGTAGTCTAGCACAAAATATAAATAAAGTAAAAAGTAAACTCTCAAAACATTTAGGAGATTGTTAAAATAGATAGTATATTAAACTAGGATAATGATGCTAACCAATTAAGTACCAATAAACATAAATGTAATTAGCAAATAAGATAGATGTAAGAAGGTTAACTATAAATACAAAATTAGGTCTGATTTACGCGAGTGATACATCAAAAGTTGCGGAAAAGTGCGCGCTATATGTGGTGTGTTGCAGAAAAAGCCGCACGAAAATTTCAAGTGCGATTTTGGGCAAAAAACCCAAAAAACCGTAAATTGTGAAGTGTTTTTCGCGTGCGGCTCAAGATTTAGAGCGGTGACCTGCACATCTGAATTGTGCGTTTTGTGGACATTGACGAGGAGTATATCCCTACAAAATTTTGGATTTTTTGGACAACCCCAGGGGGTGAAAAAGCCGAAAAACTTAAAAACCACGTGGCACGTGGTAGCAGAAGGAGACAAAAAATCAACAAACCAACTAGACGAGAACCTGCGGGACACCAAGACCTTTCACCGGACACCTCCAGCAGCAGCGGCGGACACCTGGAAGCAGAGATATTAGAAGTTAAGTAATTTTAACCTAAATTTCAGACCTTAAATTATTAATAATTGCAAATCTAGATGCGTAACATATGTATTTAATTATATTGTTGTAAAGCCCTTGACTCAAGGTATATGTATGCAAAAAATTATTAAAATCCGATTAAAACTGTTGAAATTATCGCCAGAAAAACAACTTCCCTCGTGCACGTGTTTTGTAAACTGTACACAGAGGACATTTGGTAAAAATGTTATTGTAAAGAATAGAAAATTGTAAGAATTTTGGCTCTTTCAAAATTAAAATCGGAGTAACCAATTTGAAGATATTAAATATTTAAGTTTTAAAATAAATTTATGTAAATAAATAGAAAATTAATCCATTAATAAAAATTCTGGTTACGCATCGAAAAAGAGGACAAAAAACTGAAAAGTTTGAGCCCAAACTCGACCATTTTGAGCCAAATATCGGCCGAGATACAAATAATATGACATTAGTAGACGCCATCTTGGATTAATATAAAACCTACAACTCCTAGACGGAACGACCGAACCTAGTCGTGATTGGGTTCGTTGGAAAGAGGAAAATAAAAGAAAGCTATCTAAAGTAAAATTAGAGTCGCCGCCATCTTGAAAATTTTACATAGCTATAAAAGCTGTAAAAATTACAGTAGACCGGCCGAGTTTGGACTCAAATGAGTGGTCTAGATCCACCAAGTCAGTACCAGGCCTAGTCATACTCAGTGACTCTCCTGGAGATACACGGGATCCCTACATAGAGTTAATATAGAAAATAAGGAATAATAAATAGATAATTAAGTAGTTATTACTGACGTTCAGAGGAGCTGACTTTATATATTGACCCTACTTTGGGCGTGTATGTTAAACAGACAATAGGCGCCTGTTGGCGACATATTATATAATACGACTTGTATTTAGTACATTAGTTATATATTCAGTTAAAAAATTTATTCTAACTGAATCCTTCTGCAGCAACGTACATACTCAATCCAATTCCAATGAACTCAGCATCATAATCAAAGACACTATCCAAATGAAATGACAAAAAAATACACAAATCCATGGAATCAATGAACACGCACACACCCCCATCCTATACAAACATCACTGCCAACAAGTTAAACACCCCCCCTGTCCATAAACCACCCACTTACAAACCATCAATAATCGTCACCCCGAAAACACAAGTCACCAAACCATCTGAAACCCTACAACTCTGGAGAAAGAATATCACCTTTAAACAAGACAACTTCTCACCAGCAGGAGTCAAATTTGTCTCCAAAACAAAATTCGAGTGGAATTTGACAGTGTAGAGCACAGGGACATTACTCTCAACAAAATCACACCCACCTCCGAAATTACTGCTGAAATTTCTAAAAAACTGAAACCAATGGTCATCATTAAAGGAATTCCCATAGACACACCCC